CAACACATCAATATCTGGAGCAATAAATTCCAATACATCTGAAAAAATAATATTCAACACAAGCATCCCAAATATAGGAATACAATCACCAGCAAGAGTCAGTCAGAAGACATGGTTCATGTAACATTCTTTGAACATACATTGAAGAACTAACTTCAATTCATTGTTGAGGTCTTTGATAGCATGTGCGTAAAAACCGGCGTGCTCTTTGTAAATCCGCGTAGCTTGTTTACGGAATGTGGGCAACCAGGTTTTTTAGGTTCTCCTAAACATATCGGACAACAATACCGTTTTTCCATGAACAGTGGAACAAAAATTACATATACAAGTTATTTAGGATTACACTTTCTTAGTAAAGTACAGATTCTAGTACCTGTTTGGGTTGAGTCCCATTAGAGCAACAGTCGGCGATCTGACCAACTCAGCCACCGAGGCGTCCACAAAAATGGTAGTCTGGACCACGTACTTTATGTACCCCTCTGCCAATGTTTTTCATAGTAATCACGATTTTTCGAGCTTCCGAAGACCCTAGCTCCCAAAGTACTGCTTCGATTTTAGTGCTGTATGTCTTATTTTATAGGTAAATCTATTGGCTTGAAATGTGTGCAACTTTAAATGGGATAAATACAGTGAGTATTGTTGAATTCGCCCTGAAACGAACCTGGTGTGTTCACCTCGTTACATCCCATTTTCTTTTATATAGTACTAAGACCCCGTCAGTGACAGTATATACCTTGATGGCAGTTTTTAGCGTTACAAGCCCCTGTGACTTAATCCTCATAACGTACTAAAATATTTTAAATGGATGCTGAACATAAATAAATTACAGTACACTTATTCATCATACGTAAACCTACATGTGGCTGACTTATCCACATGATTGTATATAACGAATATTGATCAGGATACCGTTAATGTGCAAGATTTGTAGTCATGAAACACATCTTTAAAGATAAAGGTGAAAGCCAATATTTGGAACCTTTTCATTGGGTCAGAAAGGACAATCTTCAAGTTTTCTTTCAACTTCCCGTACCTCTTAGATAGAGTCTGACATTCATACAGAACTACCGAGAACACAGACTATAGTATCTCGTTCAATAATGGGAGAAAGAAGAAGAAAATATATTCAATGAACGATACTGTACAACTCTGGATGCTCAATTTTGGTACAAACACAGTATCGTAAGCGTTGTATTACTGTTTTCGCCATGCTGTGGTGTTTGTACATCCATGGTATGACCCAGAATATGTCGAGGGCGTCATGGAAAATGACAATTATAGGATTCTTTGGAATACGCCGGTATACAGCTTCGGACGTAGCCATGCCAACACACCTGACCTTGTCTTTTTATACAAGCTAAGGGAATTATTCATTTCGATGCATTATCCGTCTCTTTTGACACAATTGGGCTTGAAAGATTCCGAGAAAACATGGCAAATATACGAACCTCGCTTACGAAATGTCACTCTTGCATCTCCGTTACCAAGTTGTACGACTCCCCATTTTTACTGGTGCCTTAGGTTTGGTACCTCCCAATCTTTTGACTGACATTAGGAGAGTACCTCGGTTAGCTGCCAGTCCTACTGACACTCTGAACTCAGAAGGTTGCAGTGCTGGGGAGTACACAATCTCTGAAACGTTCATGGATGGTTCTACCAAGTCGCGAGTCCTTGACTGTCGGGGCTGTATGTAATGAGGCAAAGGTCCTCGGCTGATGAGGAGCCTAACATAATAAATATTCCAGGATCACCCAAAACAGTTTAATCTTTAATACGTAATAATAATATGTCGCCATGGAAAATGGCAATCACAACATTCTTCGGAATAGGCCCATATACAGCTTCGGACATCCTAACCTACAAACCTGATAAAAATGCGGACTTTGCTTTTTTTAAATTTCTCGCTTGCAAAACAAGTACACTGTCGACTCTCCATTGTTCTCGGTGCCCTTGGTTTGGAACGTGGTGATCTCATGGCGCATATCAGGAGAGTGCCCGGGTTCTCCACCGGGAGCACAGCCCTTCTGACACTCTGGGTAATGCAGAAGGCTGCAGTGTTGGGGAGTCTTCATATGCTCCTGAATATTATTGGTAGGTTCGACTGGGCAATGCTCCCTGGGAGAAGTCCCATTTGTTGTTTGGGATGTGTGGGGGCCAAGAACACCTGAGCTAATGGTGACTGCCAGGACCAGTCGACCTCTCTCTCTGCTGCATACGATTTTTAGTTTGTAAAACATAATGATTCACTGGCCAACATTTAAACAATTTCCTCGAATCAATGTCCGCTTGTCAGGATATGTGTTTCCTGCTCCACGCTTCGGCTTTCAAATGAGTCTCAATTTCCTCCTGTAAAATACACTAAATTGAAATACAGTGTTCTCGACTATTCGGAACAATCTATATGCAACATTCCGCTTGAGGTAAGTGTTGGTACTAGTGACGTAAAATAATATATATATGCAAGTATGTGAAATCTTGGAGAATAATATCATTGAAATTAGTCAAAGGCATTTAGAAGTTGGTGTAGTAATACATGACAAATCTTATGGATAACAACCTCTTGGTCTATTTTTCACAACGTTTCTGGGCTGGTTCTTGCCCCTTCTTCAGGTGGATAATGGCGATAGTGTACAGTACAGTATATATATATAGATGTACAGGAAGCCAGATATGTAAATTGAGTATATACAAGGGGAAAAGGAGATATAATTCATAGACTCTCAAACTCGATCTGCTTTAACCACTCTGCTATGTAAACACACCCTTGCCCTTATGGTAAAAACATACCCTATCATTGTATTCTGCTCTTTGATCTCACTGCATTGCTACTCATTTAATTATATCTCCTTTTCCCTGGTATATACTCAATTTACATATCTGGCTTCCTGTACATCTATATATATACCGTACTGTTCACTATATCGCCATTATCCACCTGAAGAAGGGCCAAGAACCAGCCCAGAAACGTTGTGAAAAATAGACCAAGAGGTTGTTATCCATAAGATTTGTCCTGTAATAATAATATCATTGATTCTTCACCAATATGTCTGCAGTATTATATCAACTTACAGACTAATATTTATTTTCGTTTATGTCTCGTGCACGCATTGTTTCATGTCGGGTTCACTTTCAAATTTGTCTGGAAACACATGAAACACGGATCGAGGCGTAGCCGCCATACATCTGTCTACATCTTCAAAATAGAAATATGTTTTACAGGATGATACTCCCTGCTGCGGTTTTCTTCATTGCCGTCTTGACTGATAAGCCATCGATTGCTGTACACTGTAAGTTACAGTAAGCTACAACTTTGCACACATAGAGCACTGTGTAATATGCACTATTATTGACTCACAATAATTAGTAAAAGTTGGGGAGGCTGTGTGTGTGTGAGAGAGAGTTTACATTAAAATTTATGTGACACAGCTTGTGATTTGTTTCAGCCCACTGTGTAGAGGGAAGTCACTGCAAGGACGATAAGTGCGGGGATCTTGGGTGTTTGAATGGATGCGAGGAAGGCTACTTTGGCCCGCACTGTACAAACAACTGCAGTTCTGGATGCAAGGACGGCACATGTGATACTTCAGGAAAGGCTTGTATCGGCGGCTGCATAGACGGTCGGTGGGGCACAGTTTGTAGGCTGACGTGTTTCAGTTCATGCAAGACATGCGCTAAGGACAATGGTTCGGACTGTACATCATGTGAAGAATATAGATACGGCCCACAGTGTGGACAATCCTGTTCTTCCAAGTGTCCCAACCGTGGCTGTGATGTTAACGGAAGGTGTAAAAGCACATGTGGCGACAGATGTAAGGTTTGCAATGATGTTACACACGAGTGTGATGGATGCAAGCGTGGTACGTTTGGCCCTGTCTGCCAATGGAGGTGTAATGTTAACTGTGCTGATGAGATATGCCATCAAGAAACAGCAAACTGTTCGGCGGGATGCAAAGATGAATATTTTGGACCGAAGTGTGAGTACCGGTGTAATGAACAGTGTTTCCAGGGTAAATGCGAGCAGGGGACGGGGATGTGTGTACAGGGATGTAGACGAGGATACTACGGACCTCACTGTATATTGCCTTGTGATTCATGCCTGTCCGATATTTGCGATAATTCGTCTGGAGAATGCTTGAAAGGCTGCAAGATGGGCTTCTTCGGCAAGGGATGCAAGAACAGATGTGATGATAATTGTATCAGCGGATATTGTTCCAGATTCGATGGTGTTTGCTATCAACCCGAAGGTAAATAGACAAATATATTCTGAGGTGACCACATGTTCTTTTAACGGTTGATGGTTACCAACCAATTACAGTCCGTTTGGCTCAAAAGCGGACCGATGAATTGCAATCTAACTCGAAAACTAATGAACATAACATACTCAATAAAACGCTGATCATAATCAAAACATCATACCAACTCTGTGAGGTTTTTGCAGAATTTTGTCCTAAAAATAATAAAGATGTTTAACAAACTTTCATTAAAATATTGACACAGTTCACTGTTTGTTACGGGGAGGAGTGCAGAGAAAGGGACAGCCAGGTGTTCGAGAAGCACGTTCACAGACAAAGTTATTTATCCCTTAACCTGTGCTGTGCCGTCTCCATCCGTTCTCGAACACCTGGCTGTCCCTTTCTCCTGGCTGTCCCCTAAAAAATTTATGTTTATTAGTTTTCGAGTTAGATTGCAATTCATCGGTCCGCTTTTGAGCCAAACGGACTATACGTTTAACTATTCAGTGTGTGTGTGCATGCTTGCGTTTGTGTTAAAGCCTCACTGACCAATATCCAAACTAAATGAAAACGACCTGTACAGAAACCTAGTCTGGACCAGGCTATCAAGTGATTGATATTATGAGTAACGATCCACACCATGCCATCAGCACTGTGACCGAGCCTGATCACCCGATCCACTGAGTCCCCAACACAGGTTGCTAGGTTCAAATTCTAACACCGTGTCTGTCATTTTACTCCCAGTTCCTGAAGCTCCCAACACCACACCCGGAATGTCCCATGGCAGCAATTACTGGATGTACATTGTCGGGGGTTGTATCGGGATCCTTCTATGTTCTGCAGTGTGTTTCCTGGTCTTTAGGTATGTTATTTATATTATGTGTCTACAAGCTGTAATACTGACAGCTTAATGTTCAAGACGCGCCACACACTGATTACAGTCACTCAGCTTCTACTCATTCTGGGGGTAATTTCCATCAATGTGTGGGGTATTTTCTGTCTAATACATGTAGTTACGGTAGAATACATCACTAAATGTTGTCATGTTGAATTTTACACTTGCAATGAAACTGAAATCCAAAAGTAATCATCCTGGATTTTGTCAGAAATAAACTGCGGATGTAAAATATTTTAAAAGTCCTTTTTGTTTTGTTTGTCATTTTCCATGTTTTGACTTAAGCTAAATACAGTATCCGTTTCTTACAGGTGTGGTGGCCGCATTCGTGGTAGCCATCAACGAAGAGGTGGGTTCCGACAAAGTACGCCTCTACCGCCTGTACCGCCTGTACCCATCCCGCATGATGACCTGTATGACGAGTTGGATGTTGGACACTCGGACACCGATAGCAGACCGTCGGGATTGGACGAGGCAGGAAACGCGCATGTTGACTTGTCCAATATGGGTGATGATAAACACAACAGCGATTCATTGAGGGTCAGTGTTTTCGGAAATGTTTGCCCAAAGTTTCCTGGTCAAGAAACTAAGAGTGAGATGCCTCATCTCCAGATGACATGGTTGACGGAGACAGGCCCTACTGCTGTAGACGCCAAGGGTCCTGACAAAGCCGCATCCATTGATGTGACATGCGATAATACATCCACTCACCTTGATGAGGGACTTCACTTCAACCCATCTTACACGAGTCTGGGTGGTAGGTCCAGACCTTCGAGGAATTATTTATCTCCAGTCGAGGAATATATTAAAGCGTAACTACCCTTATGTAGTTTCACCTCAGACCTGAATGAGCAGGACATGTTTATACGGCAATATGAAACTCAAGACGATATTCACATGTTTCAAACTGTTGTGCATTGCATATCTGCTTCCCGCTACATAGCCTTGTAACCCATGTGTGTATATATACTTTAGGAAGTGATAGGACATTCCTTATTAAGGGTGAAAGAGTGTTGTGATTCATATTATCGTTATCCCAACACGGGTACGGTCAAGGCAAGCATAATCACTGAATCACTCACTTCTCCAAACTAAATTTGTCCTTCAGTGGATTTATACAACTGTACATTGCTACAAGGATGATATTGTGAGATTTCTCTGATGTGAATGGCCCAAATTTCAAAAGTTTCAACGCATCTGCATTCACTCATTCCTTCAAGTGATTGATATTCTGAGCAACTACCCACGCTATCGAGGTGCAATGACAGAACCAACCAAGTCGCAGAGCTTGTGGACATTTTCTTCGACTCAGACGTCAGACGAGTGCTAGGGAACCAGCATAACACGGGTTCCGACTAAGCATCCTCACCTGTCGACTTTACAGACAATACCAGCACCTTGAGCATGTACTAGTTGCGTTGATATGTGCGCTATATAAATGTCCTATAATAAAAATAAATGTTCCAGGGTTGATGTATCTTCCTGCATGGATATTCATGGATAATTAATTATGTGGCGATAACTAAATTCTGATACATTTGCGCGTGAATGATTGTAATGAAAGTCAGATTTGGGAAGCACTAATTCTATAACATATAAACATGAGACTGCGCATTAGTAAAGAGTCTGTGAGAGGAGCGGGGGTGAAGCATATACGCCTGTAAGTCTCTTCCTGTCAGTATATGCCGTGGCGGTACAAGTCTGCCCCGGTACAAATTCCCCAAGCTTCCGTTTGTGATCTCTCACAGGTTTTCTGGCTATAAATATTTGCCCACAGGGTGGGTTTTTTCCTGGTGATGGTAATATGTAGACTGTTCTGTCACTAATGACAGCGTCAGGTACAAAGTCTTTATGCAGAAAGGCTAGAATCACATGTGTTTTATCACACGTTAACTCTGTCACACAATGTCCATCGATGTTGATAAGAAGACATATCGGGGGTCTAATCGTATCAACACAGGAGGCACCGGTTGTAAGGAATACTGCATGCTCTTCAGGACGGTCTACTCCCAGTTGTGAGACTCCCAGTTATGAGACAGTGGAGTAGGTAATTAACAACGAAAACACACCATAAACCCCTGTCTGATAGAATGGAGTCACCCTAGCTAATTACTGATTTGCTATGTAACTGATTCTTGTGGAGGTAACTTAATGAAACATTATAAGATAAATTGATTAACATACTCAGGTAAATGTCTTTAATAATTAAACACTTTGTGTAGGTAACTTCGTGATCAAAGAGAAATTAATTTACCTACTCAGATTTACTCCGTCTCCGAAACTACAAGCTATAGTTTAAGAAATAACTCTGAAATAACTCTGAAATTTACAGTCGAAATGCCCCTTATCCCAAACCCTTTCTACCCGACACAATAAATTTATGGAATGCCCTACCAAATTCCAAAGAGTCATGCAGTCTCAAAGAATTTTAAAACCTAATTACAAAAGCCGAAAACAAGATTTATATTGATCTTAATTATGGCTCTTGTTTTTGTCAAATCGTTCATTGCTGCCTCAGGCTCGGATGTGGCGACCTAAACGCCGATAAGTATAACAGACATTTAATAGACAGCCCATGTTGTTCTTGTGGATATCAACTACCCGTTATAACCTGGATAATTTTTTGAACGGAAACAAAGAATTTACTCCTTGTGTAAACCAGAAAATAGTTGGATCCGTCCACGATTATATCATCAAGACACAACCTTCAGTAATACTTCACCAATCCCAATTCATTTTCATAAGTAGTCATTATAGTCAATAAAAATGTGTCCAAAATGACTTTAAAACTTCATTATAGTCAATAAAAATGTGTTATCATAATTACATATTCTTCTGAATAAATAAAATATTCAATGAACTATTTAATGAACTCACCAATGAACTATGCCTCCTGTGGGTACTGGGCTGGGCTGATCCCACTTTCATTGTAGGGATGTGGAAACACCACATATGTGCACTGAACCATTAATTAATGTGTCTCACAACTGGGAGGACACCCTTCAGGACACTGGTGTTATCGTGATTCCAGATTAACCTGTCACTTCCTGGTTGGGATGTATGACAATGACAATACAATACCGTGAGGGAATTCTTGTGTAAAGAACAGAGCTCAAACAATGATAAAATGATTAAATTATTTTCATACAATAAATAACACACATATAACCCGCTAACAAGGTATAGTAAGACAAACACTAGGAATCGTTTAAAAGATTAATATTGGCAGGAACAAAGGATTTCATGGCACGATTGGATTTAAAACGGGGTACATTATAACGGCGCCCAGAAGGCAGTAACTTATACTCGTATGTATGTGAGATATCAAACAATTATTGTCAGGTGATCATCAATCTTGACGTGTGTTGTCGTGTGCAGGTGCTTGTCGTGTGTGTGTAGTATTAGTTCTGCTCGTTCCTAAAACACTGGAAGTGCACGTGTGTAATGGCATTATGTCATCAGGGTTGATGAGAACACCATGTAGAGTAAACACATCAGCAGTACCAATAGTGGTTGTAACTGTAATTGTTACTTCTATCACGTATCTGGCCAATGAAGGGTTAACACATCAGCAGTACCAATAGTGGTTGTAACTGTAATTGTTACTTCTATCAAGTATCTGCCCAATGAAGGGTTAACACATCAGCAGTACCAATAGTGGTTGTAACTGTAATTGTTACTTCTATCACGTATCTGACCAATGAAGGGTTAACACATCAGCAGTACCAATAGTGGATGTAACTGTAATTGTTACTTCTATCACGTATCTGACCAATGAAGGGTTAACACATCAGCAGTACCAATAGTGGTTGTAACTGTAATTGTTACTTCTATCACGTATCTGCCCAATGAAGGGTTAACACATCAGCAGTACCAATAGTGGTTGTAACTGTAATTGTTACTTCTATCAAGTATCTGCCCAATGAAGGGTTAACACATCAGCAGTACCAATAGTGGTTGTAACTGTAATTGTTACTTCTATCAAGTATCTGCCCAATGAAGGGTTAACGCATCAGCAGTACCAATAGTGGTTGTAACTGTAATTGTTACTTCTATCAAGTATCTGCCCAATGAAGGGTTAACACATCAGCAGTACCAATAGTGGTTGTAACTGTAATTGTTACTTCTATCAAGTATCTGCCCAATGAAGGGTTAACACATCAGCAGTACCAATAGTGGTTGTAACTGTAATTGTTACTTCTATCAAGTATCTGCCCAATGAAGGGTTAACACATCAGCAGTACCAATAGTGGTTGTAACTGTAATTGTTACTTCTATCAAGTATCTGCCCAATGAAGGGTTAACACATCAGCAGTACCAATAGTGGTTGTAACTGTAATTGTTACTTCTATCAAGTATCTGCCCAATGAAGGGTTAACACATCAGCAGTACCCAATAGTGGTTGTAACTGTAATTGTTACTTCTATCAAGTATCTGCCCAATGAAGGGTTAACTAATCAAGCATCAGCAGTACCAATAGTGGTTGTAACTGTAATTGTTACTTCTATCAAGTATCTGCCCAATGAAGGGTTAACACATCAGCAGTACCAATAGTGGTTGTAACTGTAATTGTTACTTCTATCAAGTATCTGCCCAATGAAGGGTTAACACATCAGCAGTACCAATAGTGGTTGTAACTGTAATTGTTACTTCTATCAAGTATCTGCCCAATGAAGGGTTAACACATCAGGAGTACCAATAGTGGTTGTAACTGTAATTGTTACTTCTATCAAGTATCTGCCCAATGAAGGGTTAACACATCAGCAGTACCAATAGTGGTTGTAACTGTAATTGTTACTTCTATCAAGTATCTGCCCAATGAAGGGTTAACACATCAGTAGTACCAATAGTGGATGTAACTGTAATTGTTACTGTTATCACGTATCTGGCCAATGAAGGGTTAACACATCAGTAGTACCAATAGTGGATGTAACTGTAATTGTTACTTCTATCAAGTATCTGCCCAATGAAGGGTTAACACATCAGTAGTACCAATAGTGGATGTAACTGTAATTGTTACTTCTATCAAGTATCTGCCCAATGAAGGGTTAACACATCAGTAGTACCAATAGTGGATGTAACTGTAATTGTTACTGTTATCACGTATCTGGCCAATGAAGGGTTAACACATCAGTAGTACCAATAGTGGATGTAACTGTAATTGTTACTTCTATCACGTATCTGACCAATGAAGGGTAAACACATCAGTAGTACCAATAGTGGATGTAACTGTAATTGTTACTTCTATCACGTATCTGACCAATGAAGGGTTAACACATCAGTGTTACCAATAGTGGATGTAACTGTAATTGTTACTTCTATCACGTATCTGACCAATGAAGGGTAAACACATCAGTGTTACCAATAGTGGATGTAACTGTAATTGTTACTTCTATCACGTATCTGACCAATGAAGGGTTAACACATCAGTGTTACCAATAGTGGATGTAACTGTAATTGTTACTTCTATCACGTATCTGACCAATGAAGGGTAAACACATCAGTGTTACCAATAGTGGTTGTAACTGTAATTGTTACTGCTATCACGTATCTGACCAATGAACATCTGGGTTAGAACTGATCTTCAGCAACCCATGCTTGCCCTAAGAGAGGACTAACGGGATCTGATGGTCAGGCTCGCTGACTGGGTTAGAACTGATCTTCAGCAACCCATGCTTGCCCTAAGAGACGACTAACGGGATCGGGTGGTCAGGCTCGCTGACTGGGTTAGAACTGATCTTCAGCAACCCATGCTTGCCCTAAGAGAGGACTAACGGGATCGGGTGGTCAGGCTCGCTGACTGGGTTAGAACTGATCTTCAGCAACCCATGCTTGCCCTAAGAGACGACTAACGGGATCGGGTGGTCAGGCTCGCTGACTGGGTTAGAACTGATCTTCAGCAACCCATGCTTGCCCTAAGAGACGACTACCGGGATCGGGTGGTCAGGCTCGCTGACTGGGTTAGAACTGATCTTCAGCAACCCATGCTTGCCCTAAGAGACGACTAACGGGATCGGGTGGTCAGGCTCGCTGACTGGGTTAGAACTGATCTTCAGCAACCCATGCTTGCCCTAAGAGACGACTAACGGGATCGGGTGGTCAGGCTCGCTGACTGGGTTAGAACTGATCTTCAGCAACCCATGCTTGCCCTAAGAGACGACTAACGGGATCGGGTGGTCAGGCTCGCTGACTGGGTTAGAACTGATCTTCAGCAACCCATGCTTGCCCTAAGAGACGACTAACGGGATCGGGTGGTCAGGCTCGCTGACTGGGTTAGAACTGATCTTCAGCAACCCATGCTTGCCCTAAGAGACGACTAACGGGATCGGGTGGTCAGGCTCGCTGACTGGGTTAGAACTGATCTTCAGCAACCCATGCTTGCCCTAAGAGACGACTAACGGGATCGGGTGGTCAGGCTCGCTGACTGGGTTAGAACTGATCTTCAGCAACCCATGCTTGCCCTAAGAGAGGACTAACGGGATCGGGTGGTCAGGCTCGCTGACTGGGTTAGAACTGATCTTCAGCAACCCATGCTTGCCCTAAGAGACGACTAACGGGATCGGGTGGT